TGGTAATACAACTCTACGAAGAAAATAACCAAAAATCCACTGGGGCATCCACTGAGAAAATCTAGCTAATTTTACTATTTTTTTTCAAAGAATCGATATATTTCTACTTTTTTTGGCTTGCCGCGAGCTACGCTTGCAGTAAATAGCAAGTATGGCAATGTAAATGTAACTGATATAGACAGTAAGAGAAAAGAGAAGATTTTTAACTTTTTTTTCGCTATATCTCGAAATGTAATAAAGCAATCGATGCTTACAAAAAATCAGTCGATAGATCCTTCTAAACCCTACAACTTTCTCATTTAAAATTTTTCGATCGGAGCTATATTTTTTTAGTTATTTTAAAAAAACCGTTTTTTGTAACTGCGAATTTTTTTGGCCACATCCCTATAATGCTTGGACTAAAATAATTACAAGCCTTATGACCAGTAACTTTGTTAAAAGCAGTATTTTAATTTCCTTCACGATGCCAATAAAATTTTGGTAAAATTGAAACACTAAGACCAAAATTACATTGAAATACAACATTCTGTTTCACAGGCTGGTAATTTTTCAAGAGATTTTATTCAACCAATCAGCGATCGCATTGCCTCAAGCTTAGGCTTGTAAACACTGTATTTATTACATGTGTTAATAACTCGGTCAATTTCTTGATCAGTTTTTTGTACAAAATTCGTAAATTTAATACTAGTTTAAATAAAAAATGTATAGTAATAATTTTTTATTCAGGAAAATTCTTCAGCCTGCAGTTGCGTAGACTGTGAGGCGAGTTGTCCGGTACCACCACCTCAACCGCCACCACCCCAACCTTTCCGGATTGCCGGGTGTGACGGATATGCCTTTGTCATGGTCGTGGTTTTCCTCATAGGTTCCACAATGTTCCTATTGGTGGTGTTTATGTGCTCATCTTCTGCAAATGTTGGTAAGTCTTTTCTATTTTTTAGCTATATCCTTTTTCATTTCTTTTATTTTCATCCATTTCATTTACATGCAATTGTTTTCGTGTCCTGAAAAGACTGGTTTGTTTTGATGAAAGATTTTCCATTTGGCAAAATTATAGAGCTTAAAATTTGCTGTTTATTGAGATGTCACATGTAAAATAGATTAATTATTAAAATCAAAGTCTTGGCGACGAAGAAATATGTTTGCATTTTTTATGAATTCAGAAAAAATATTAATATGAGAATAATAAACATGAAGTGTTCCATCTCTTACTGATTATATCGTTTGGTAAATGATCTGAATTTCTAATTTGGTGGTTTGGAAACCAAACTAACAACTACCCATTAATTAACTTAACAAATCGAACCAGTTGTTGATTTTCAAGCATGTCCCCGTTACATTTTCGTTTGCTGGTGGAGGTTCTGCCTCGATATGCCATGTCATCTATCACAGAGCAGCTGAACTGAGTGGTTTTTTCACAGGAGATAATGCTTACAACTTTGAGCGAGAAATATTTGACGCAGAATTAGAACCGGAGGAGCGCCAAGGTACAATAAATGAGGAGCTTTTAATGTTTTTGTGTTCCATTTGTTTTACAGTGTTATGTCCAGGGCTTTTTGCTGATATTGGTGCAAACAGATTTGTTAGTTAGAACTGCTGTAAAATCCTAATCAGCTTTATAAAGCAATCCTTGTCCCGAGCAATCCCAAATCGGAAACGTACTTTCAGTTTGTTCATTGTAGTTCTATCATTTCGAGACACGGCGCATATCCTTTTCTTCGATAGACGTTCGCTTGCAAAATGGAAGCCCCATCTATTCATAATGAAAATAAATCTTAATCTTTTTTTTCCATT